TTTTTTTTTTTGCTGCCTTATGGAGAATGGATTGGGAAGAAGGGATAGGGGTTAGAGGGAGACTAAAGACTGGGACCACTGTAATTCCGGTGAGCAACCATAGTGTCACATAGAGCCCAATGAGCAAGTTCTCTAATTGCCCCAAGATTGAAGTAAATGAAATAGAATGGCGGTTGGTACCAGAGTCTCTATAGCTGAACCAGGAATGTGAGTAAGGATTTTTGCTTTCACTGATGGCTTCTATTAACTGGTATGTCTGATTCCGATTCCATACTAGTTCCATGGTAGACATGAGGTGAGGCCCCTGGATACAAAGTCTTGTATAATGTTTTACCTTTTTGGTTAATTTGTAACCTTTTTTAATTTTTTGATGTTTTTAATTTCTGTTTCATTGGCGCTTTAAGCATAACATCTTAGGTAGAGGGCATTGAATATCCTCTTTATGCTAATTTTATGAAATTATATCTACAGGTTCAGAAAGTGCTTCTCCAGTTCATTCAGCTCTGGGATCCAGGTCACAAACACCTTCTCCTTCCACAGTGAATATAGAACATATGGAACAGAAAGATCTGCAACTTGATGAGAAGCTCCACCACTCTGTTCTTCAGACGCCAGATGACCTAGGCAATATTTGGAAATTAGATATTTGCCATTTCTCCTTTTAGGGCATTAGTATTAAAAGATCTTAAAATAAGGCATCTTAAACTTGATTATGTATTATATACATATTATTTATTATTTTGTAATTGGACCTTTCTAGGTCTTTTGGAAATTTGTTACTATAACATTTTTTTCTTACTCTTAAAGAAAATATTTATACTCAGATTTTCGTTATTTGTTATTTTATTACAGTTTATTACAATTCTAGTATTAGTTACTGCATTAATTTTGTGTGTTATATTATCATTGATATAGTGCCATTCATTTCCTAAAGCAGGAAATACATAATTTGGCATCATTATTCTTAATGTTGTATCTGAAGAACCTGGTGGTTCACAGGAGAAAGTAGTAGAATTATCATTTGCTAATCAGGCTTTCAGTGAATCAGTTGATCAAATCACTAACTTTTCAACTAAATTTAATTAAAAAGTGGCCATCCAAGCAAAGTATTTTTATTTTTAACTAAATGTTAAAAAGTAACTAGCAAACCTTAGAAACTATAAATTTAAAAACAAAAATTTTTGCTAAGTCCTACATGATGTAATAAGCATCAAGATAAGTCATTTTGCAAATTTGGTCAAGGACATAGTTGTTGAGATATTTACAATAAATACAAAATGCCAGTTTCATTGGTAATGCAGCAGATTTGTTCTCTGACCAAAGGAAGAAATTTTAATCCATATAACTTCTGGCTTTTTTTTTTTAAGATACTCTTAATATGCAATTACCTTAGAATTACATAGCCCTAATTTTCTGTTGTGAGTTGTTTCTGACCTTTTTTTTTCATCCTTTGGCCTGCAATATTTTCTTTTTAGTTTTCTTCCTGACATTTGGAAAAAATTTTAAACTTTTAGGAAAGTTGCAAGGCTAGTAAAATGAATACTCATAAATCCTTTAGATAAATTCACCAGTTGCTAATGTTTGCCACTTTATCCCTTTCTAAATACGTACACAGGCATACAAAAAACGTCCCACCATCCCTTTTTTTAAATGTTTTCCTTCTGAGTCATTTAAGAGTGAATGACTACACACCTAAATACTTCAGTGAGCATGTCCTAAGAATAAGTGTACATTTATTTCCTGCATAACCACAATATAATGGCCACATTCAAGATACTTAATGTTGATGTATCACTGTTGTTTTAGTTCATAATTAAATTCCTCGGTTATCCCAATAATATCCTTTGTAGCTACCTCATACCACCACCAGCCCAACCTAGGATTTAAAGAATCACACATTGTGCCCTGGCCAGATGGCTCAGTTGATTGGAGCATCGTCCTATACACCAAAAGATTGTGGGTTCGATCCTCGGTCAGGGCACATATGGGAGGCATCTGATCAATGTTTCTCTATCACATCGATGTTTTTCTCTCTATCTCTTCCTCTCTCAAATCAGTTTTTTAAAAATCCTCAGTGAGGATTTTAAAGAAAGGAACACACATTGTTGCTTGCTTTGTAATCGTTTAATATTTTGTTTACTTTGAGAAGGATAAGTTAGGGTCAAAGTAGTTGATTTATAACTATATTATGAAGGGTCTGTAGGGAGGGGAGATGTTAACAGTGATAGTTAAAACTGCAGGCTTTCTTTTATTTTAGTGAATTTAGACCAGAAGCCTATTTTTTATTATTACGAAAGACTACTCAGTAGCTTTTTATTAATATAATCAGTTGTACGCTTTACAAGCAAAGAGAAAAAAGGTAAACATTAAGAGTAAAGATGTACATATACTAACAAACATAAGTTATCAGTACATTGAGATTTTTATCAAGCAGGAAAACTTTTTACTGACTTTCTAATGATTTTGCCATTTTTACTATATACATTGAATAGAATAATGGGTTTTTAATGTATTGTACACCTGAAACCTATATAATTTATTAACCAATGTCACCCCAATAAATTTAATAAAAATTTTTAAAGAAAGATTAATAGATTTTTTTTAAAGCTGGAGTAGACCTGTAATGATATTCCAGCTAAACCATCTATTTTACAGATAAAGTGTAGCCTTAGGGAGGTTATTAAATAACTTGTACATCACATAATTAGTGATAGAAATGACACTAAGATCCAAGGTTACCTATATTTCTTACATATAATATTTCAAATATTAATAACCAAAAATATAATTATGGAAATTTTAGATTATGTTTACATTTTAGTAAAAATATGTTTTTCCATGTCATTGTGATATTCCTTTTAATATTAGGTCTGACATAATTGTGAAATATATTTCTTTGGAAATTTTAACTACAAAAAAACTGGCTTATAAAGACTTCCTACAGGAGCTGCCTTTAGCATGAGATTTTATATATATATAAATATATATTTTTTTAATATGTCTTTATTGATTTCAGAAAGAGGAAGTGAGAGGGAGAGAGAGTGATAGAAACATTAATGATGAGAGAGAGAGTCATTGATCGGCTGCCTCCTGCATGCCCCCTAGTTGGGGAGTGAGCCCGCAACCTGGGCATGTGCCCTGACCGGGAATTGAACTGCCATCCTCTGGATCATAGGTTGATTCTCAACCACTGAGCCATGATGGCTGGGCTATAATAATAGCTCACTTTTTTAAAAAAAAATCCTCACCCGAGGATATTTTTTCCATTGCTTTTCAGAGAGAGTGGAAGGCAGGGAGAGAGAGATTGATGTGAGAGAGACACATCGATTGGTTGCCTCCCACCTGCACCCCAACAGGGGCTGGGGATCAGCCTGCAATGGAGGTACATGCCCTTGGCCAGAATCGAACCTGGGACCCGTCAGTCCATGGGCGGACACTCTAAACATTGAGCCAAACCAGCTAGGGCAGAGATTTTATATTTGATGACATAACCTGAAGTAGTTATTAGATAGAGTATGTAGTTGTAAATATGATTTTTATGTCAAACATAAATTTCTTTATCTGGTATCTTCATCATTTCCTCCTTAGGTAAATATAGATAGAAGCACTATTGAATAAGTAAATTATTGCCATAATAAGGAATTATGAACTGGTAATGTTTTCACCTTATCAAAAAAAAAATAACACTAATGCATATTGACATTTCTTTTATTTACTTTTATAGATACTTAAGATTGTTAATTCATCTCTTGTGTTTTTGTGATCAATTCTCCAGAAAAATTACTGACCCTTCTGTATTATTTTTTTCTATAGAAATCAGTGAGTTTCCATCTGAATGTTGTAGTGTGATGGCAGGGGGTACTCTCACAGGATGGCATGCTGATGTCGCTACTATAATGTGGCGAAGAATGCTAGGCATTTTGGGAGATGTCAACGCTATTATGGATCCTGAAATACATGCTCAAGTTTTTGATTACCTCTGTGAACTTTGGCAGAATTTAGCTAAGGTAAAAAAGAAAAGATATAAGGGGAGAAGCAAAGTAAAATAAAGTATTAAGAAGCAGAAACCTTAAATAACATGGTCACACCACCCCTCTACCTCCTTATTATATAACTGGTGCTTACCATGATGAAGTCACTTAACCATGATTAAATATGTAGTTAGTGGTAGATACTGGGCATGATCTCAAATTTAAGGTAAAACAAATTGGAAGAAAGAACACTTTTCATAGGTTTGTTGCATTTTATTTGAAAATTACAGATTAGAGATAACCTCGGCATTTCAACTGATAACCTGACCTCCCCTTCTCCACCAGTTTTGATTCCTCCACTGAGAATTCTTACACCTTGGCTTTTCAAGGTAAGCAACATATAAAATATTAATTTAAACATTTCATTTAGCATACAAGTATGTGGTCAGTCTTAAACATTTGACAGATGTTTGAGCTGTTGTATAGTCTTCTAGAGCACTTAGTTTTTAGTCATTAGGGGTTATATAGTGAGGAGAGTGGGTATAGCAAAATTATTGTACAGATGCATCATTTTTATAGAAATTTGTTTTCACTGTGTTTAATGAAATGTTAACCTTGAATTTGTGTCATAAAATGTATGCACTTTTATTTATTTATTTTTAAATATATCTTTATTGATTTCAGAGAGAGGGAGGGAGAGAGAGAAATAGAAACATCAATGATGAGTCATTGATCAGCTACCTCATGCATGCCCCCCCACTGGGAATCAAGCCTGAAACCTGGCCATGTGCCCTGACTGGGGATCGAACCTCGATCTCCTGGATCATAGGTCAATGCTTAATCACTGAGCCATGCCCAGCTGGGCTGCATGTATTTTTAAAGATGTAATTCTTTTAAGTATCATTTAATATGTTTGGTACATTTTACTAAGTGAAACTGTGGTTATTCATACCTGCTTTGTTTCATTTTAATGATAATTGTTTAGGTAAGTCTGACATTTAGTTCAGTAAAGAAATTAAGCCAACATAGAAATAAATGAAGATAAATATTTTTCAAATGTTTAAGTATTTAACAAATAGCATTTATTTTTGGGTATTAAAACCAGTATTTTTTAATTGTAGGCAACCATGTTGACTGATAAATATAAGCAAGGTAAACTGCACGCTTATAAACTTATTTGCAATACAATGAAAAGAAGACAAGATGTTTCTCCGAATAGAGATTTTCTGACACATTTCTATAATATAATGCATTGTGGATTACTTCATATTGATCAGGTAAATATATATACACTTTTTATTAAGTTGCTTTAATATGTTTACCTTTGGATTCTCAATTCTGTTTAACTCTTAACATTTAAGGTCTAGAATTAAAATTTTTTCCTATGTAGTGGTTTACTTACAAGTTTTTTTCATTTTATGACCTTGTTTTTGAAATGTGAAAAAACAAGCTATTGTAGTTAAGGGATTGAGTTGATTATTAAATGCATCATTCCTCTAGTGTTATACCAAATAGTTTACTTTTTGAAGAGGTTAAACCATCGTTTGCTTATGTTGACAACATTTTAAACATTTTGTAAATATTACTTGAGACATACGGATTTGTGCATCTACTCATGCAGTAGTTAGAGGTTTTTTCCACTCTAAGAGTCAGCACATCACATTTTCTCATTACCATAAATTGTATGAGCATAATGACAATTGTGTTGACTTAACGTTTTTATCAATCACAATCATTACGTTATATAGTCATAATTATGACTCTAGAACATTACTTCAGGGGTGTAGATCCTGGCCATAAAACTAAAAAGTGTGGGAAGTTAAAAGTAAAAGTAATGCAAGCATTTTTATCAGATGTGGTTAAATTTCACTTTCAGTTCATTTAAAGAGCATTAAATTTATATTAAAAGATGATAATTGTATCACTTTCTGAAAAATGAGAAGACTTCTTGCATTAATTAGAACTAATTTCAATGTTCTACCTATATCTCAGAAAAATTGACAGTCTTAATTACTAGAAAAAGAGCTTTTGTTTAAGATAAATCATATTGAGTAATGCAGCGTAATACACAGCATTCTCATTGTAAATTCCAAAGGCAAAGTGGATGAATAACCAAGTTAAGAATATTCCCTCAAGAATACCTGCCTCTAGATTTCCCATGCTAGATACCTATCAGAGGACTTCAACTTATCTAAAAAAGAGAATCTCTTCAGTTGCCATATAACTTCACCCTTGAGAGTCATCGTATGGAAACAAATAGGTAGCAGGAGGAACTACTCTGCAATTCACTTTTAACCCTCTGAAACAAAGAGCCTTCCACCTTACTCTGTAGTGTGAAAAAAAATGCTCTATTGGTGTCAGTTAAACAAACGTGTTTTAAGTTTACTTCCCTTTGACAGAATATAATAATAAGCATGGCTTATTTGGAAGAATTAAAATTAGTCTTTGTAATTACTCAGCCAATATATAGTAATGACCTGTTTTATTATTTCATGTGAAAACTATTTTTAAGGATATTGATTAGCTGATACTCAAGATTACATTGTGATATTCTTTCCTTCTTCTTTCCTTATTGCTAAGGATATTGTCAATACAATCATCAAGCACTGCTCACCTCAATTTTTTTCACTTGGTTTGCCTGGTGCCACAATGCTTATTATGGATTTTATTGTAGCAGCTGGCAGAGTGGCTTCATCAGCTTTTCTCAATGTAAGTTTTTATTTCCTGTTCTTCATAATATAACAAACTTTAGTTAACCAGGACTCAACTAACAAAGCAACAAAGGAAGATCTATTATTGATAAAAATATAGCAATCTAATGTTCAGGAAAGTTCACATTTTAATTGGAATTGTTGCATCTCTCACATTAAAAAAAGTAAGAAATTCTGAAGTATGAGAAAGTATTAAAATTAGTTGATGAATTGACCAGGAGCTATAAAAATGGATTAAATCTGATAAGCAAAACATAATTTTAAATTCAGTAAATGTAAGGAAACAGAGAAAGAAGGAAGAAAGTAAAGAAAGGGCAATGGGCTATAGCAAAAGAAAAGAAAGAAACAGATGAGGTTACCCAGAAATATGCTCTAGGAATACACTCTAACCTCTAAAACAGCATTTGAGGATTTTTTTATACAGCTATGGAGCTATGAGGCAGTGCCAAGTAATTCAGTATAGTTGGAACATGTTCATTTTAAATGGCAGAGGTAAACTAAAGAGAAAGACAGTGACTCTTTATAGTGCTAAAGAGAATAGATTTCATCCTAAGGAAAGAATGAATAACTATTGAAGGATTTTAGGAAAGGGGTAACATGATCAAATTTGTATTTTAGAAAGATCACTCTGGAGCAAAGTATAAATAAGAAATAATAGTTAACTGAAAGCCTACTAGAAAATTCAGAGAGTATTTGGGAGAGAAAAATCAGGAATACTTGACTAGAACCTTTTAACTTGCAAAGCAATTTTACATACATTTTTTCATTTATAAGGTGCAAAAGACCAATAGTGAATGAGGAGGAGTTCTATTTGTGGCATAGAAAGCTGCCTGTTAGACATGCAGTGAGATGTCAGGAAGGCCATTGTATGTATTACTCAGGAGCTCGAAGGAGACTGAAAATGTATAGCTGGGAAACATTACTTTATAGATGGTTTTGAAACCCATGAAACAGATGCAGTCACCTAGAGGAAGTGTGCAAATAAAAGAAGAACCTGTGTTTATAGCTAGTTAGTAATCTCATTTCTCCAGTTCCCTGAGAACAGTGATCATGTCTTACTCGTATTACATCTCCAGGGCCTAGCCCAGCATCACACTCATAGATGTTTATTAAACAAATGTGTAAGTATTTATTCAGCACCTAGTATGTGTTAAACATGGTGCTAAGCTCTTTTACTCCTATTAACCTTTTGTTTCCTCTTGTGTATAAAATGTTCCTTTGGGTGGAATACAGAAGGATATAGAATAAATGAGATAAAATTGTGCTCAAGCAACATATAGTCGGTTGCTGGGAAGATACTAAAGTACATTAACAGCTATAGAATATAAGACAACAAATAGGAGGAGCTTAGTATAGTGGTTAAAAGCATGGAGTCTAGAGTTAGTCTGCCTGGGTTCAAATCCCAGCTCTGCCACTTACTAGCTAGAGACCTTGTGCAAGTAATTTCTCATCATCCATATATTGCAGATAACCTTCCTCATAGGGTTATTGTATAAGGACTAAAATAATATTTGTAACATGATTAGGACATTATATAACACATTGTGCAACATGAGAGTTTGTTAAATAAAATTATATGGTAATTCAGACAAAGAAGAGATCTTATTTGTTTAGAGATATCGGAGAGGTTTCATGTAAAAGACACTTGAATATATCCTTGAAAGATTACTAGTTTTGTAAGTCAGAAGGGAGAGGAGGAATGGTATTCCAGGCAGAGGGAAACAGGCATGAGTAAGCTGTGTTCAAGGAATGACAATCCATTTTGTTTAGAAGCTAGTTAATCTAACTAGAGAGCAGTAGATAGAAAAAAACAGAAAGATATTTTAGATCCCAGTTACCCAAAGTGTGGTCTGCACACCATAAACATTTGTCATAATCTTGTTAGTTGTTAGAAATACAGATTCTCAGACATACTGAAATAGAATATGCATTTTAACTGTATCCCAAATGATTGGCATGGACATTTACGATTAAGAAGCACTGCTTTAGACTACTACATCTTGGAAGGTTTTGAATGCCAGGATTCAGATTATAACTCTACATTAGATAAACAGGTTTATTAAAGCAGGAAGAGAGATGATTGAATCTGTGCTTTGGGAATATTAAATAAGTATATTAATCTAGGAGTAGATTAAATGGAAGACAAACTAAAGATAGTAAACAAGTTATAAGGCTATTATATTATCAGTGTACACAGATTATCAATCTTTTGGATACTGGCAAAAAGTTTATAGAACTTAGAGTTGACTGATACATAAACCAATGGCATTTTTTTAAAAATTTATCTTTATTGTTGAAAATATTACAGATGTCCCCTTTTTTGTTCATTGACCCCTTCCACCCAGCACCCACTCCCCGACCCAGGCTTCACCACACTATTGTCTGTGTCCATGGATTATGCATATATGCATATAAATTCTTTGGTTAACCCTTTGCAGTCGTTTGTCTACTCTCAGCCACCAAAGCTTTTTTACCGTTCCTGTCGTATGTCTACTTTCAGCTACCAAAGCTTTTTTACCGTTCCGGTCGTATGTCTGCTCTCAGCCACCACAGCAAGGAACCATACGAATCTTAACTCTGTTCATTCATGTATCAGTTCATAATTTCTCTGAAAGCTCTTAATTCCGACCAGTACGACTCCCACGTCCAAATTTAATACAACCGCAAAGGGTTAATC